AGAGACACTAGATGCATGCCCTCCTTACATATGTGTCCAATGTTGTGTTGAAAAATATGTTACTTGCTGAAAGAATACACATAGGCACACATGAATATGGCTTTGATCAACTGGCCTAATTAATCCAAATATTGCACTAAATGCCATCTAGAATGCATATATTTGCTGTGAAGAGTACTTGATGTTTTTACATTTTAAGGTATGTGTAATTATGTACATGCTTAATGTGAATGAGTCCCTATCTGGCCCTCCAGATCATGTTTCCTACTTATTTTTTAGTTTCGAAGTCTGTTTATGCCCTGCTGAGATATTACATATTCTGTGCTTCGGATGGCCCTTTGCCAGCTCGCCGAAACTTGATGTATTGCCTGCTTGCTTTTGATTACAGCAGACAGAAGCTTTGATTCAGTCTCTTTGTATAACCTGCTCCTTTGCTAGGAACACGCTGTTCTCTGAGAACGCAATAAGAAGCTGTCGGGTTGGCATAAAGAGTTTCTCGTTAAGAAGTTTTGGATCTCTATTTTTTTTCCCCTTTGTAATTAACCTGGATTCCTTTTGAACTGAACTATACACAAATAGTTGAGACAATTAAAAAGCTTCTCTTAACATGTTTATACTCCGCAGTTAAAGTAAACCTGTTACAATCCTTGGCTGTTCTAACAGATTATAATGAAATGCATAAGCAGAAGTTACTATGAAGCCCAACTCCAGGAGGAAAGTTGCAGTCACAGGACGACTGCGGTGCCCTAATTTTTTCCATTGATGTCTAGTCGTTGGAGATCTTTTAGCATATCAAGAGGCTCCACTACTGACAGTGGCTTCCTGACCGCAACCCCTTGCCTTCTGCCAGGGAGGACAAGGCTGAAGGATACAGAATATCAAACACAGTAAGAGGGCCAGCTTAAATTGTCCATGAAGATCTAGCCCGAAATAAAGTTGATGCTGCAGCTTTTCGAGGAAGTAAAGCTCTGGGGTGACATCCACTACACAAGCAGTAGAAAAAAATGTAAGCCTCAGGTTGTACCCTAAGTGACATGTGTAGAGCTGCAGCTAACGATTATTTTCAAAATCGATTAGTTAGCCGATTATTGAGTTCGATTAATCGGTTAATCGGATAAACAATAAAATACATTTTAAAAAATGGCTCCAGTGATGGACTACTAGTTTGTATTGAGATTGTAGTCCATCACAGGAGCCAGCTTTGGAGCGGTGGAAGTAAAAAAAGTGTGGTGTGCAATATAGTGAAATGGAAAGTTTAAAATTATACAGCAATCAATGCAGAATATCACCAGCTATAGAGGAGCACAACAAATCCCAGCAATAGTACATTATAGCTGGCGGTATTCTGCATTGCGCTGTATAATGTGCTGTTGCTGGGTATTGTTGTCCTCTATAGCTAGTGATATTCGGCATTGCACCACTGTATAATGTATTATTGCTGGGATTTGTTGTGCTCCTCTATAGCTGGTGGAATTCCGCATGGTGCTGTATAATGTATTATTGCTGGGATTTGTAGTCCTCTATACAGCGCAGTGCAGAATATCACCAACTATAGAGGAGTACAACAAATCCCAGCAATACATTATACATACAGTGTATAATGTATTGCTGGGATTTGTATTCCTATGTATAATATACAGCACAATGTACCATCAGCTTTAGAGGAATACAAATCCCAGCAATACATTATAGAGCACCATGTGTGGGAAAGTGCAGGCTTACCTGAGCAGTCTTCCAGCAACTTGCTTCTGAGATCGGGCCTGTCTATCGGCGGCTGTCATCCCCCCACACCTGCTCCTCCTTACTACATCTCCCCGCGTCCCTGTGCCGATCGTGGATGTGGGCGGGCGGTGAGTGTGAGGCGGGGAGGAGGTGCGGCGTGAAGAGCGTGGATGCGGGCGGGTCTGGCAGCGGCGAGCGTGAGGTGGGGAGGAGGTGCGGCGCACAGCGTGTGGAGCTGTGAACAGGGCCAACTGATCGGAAGCCGATTAATCGATTATTGAAAAAGTTGACAACTTTTTCAATAATCGATTATAATCGATTATGTCGATTAGTTGTTGCAGCCCTAGACATGTGAAAAGAACTAGTGATTGCAGAGATATAGGCAGCATGTATACAAATCTCAACTTTTCTTTCAATTCAAACCTGTTCTTTCCCACCCCCAGACACACCCTTAATGTTGGCCATACAGTGGACATTTTTTTTTTTTTTTGGAAGAATCGGTGCAAATTTAACGAATCTAATCTGAACATGATCTCTGTCATCACATAAACCTGCATTATTACACTGTGCAAGGCAAGTTTGTGCCTTGGGTATGTACTCCCAGTTCTTAGATTTGGGAAGCAAGTGCAGTTTGGAAACCTCTATTCTGGGTATTCAATTCCCTAACCCTAAACCTACAACATATTTCCCAATATGATAGGCTTTGTCATATGTTAACCAGTTCCTTAACTTGTGTGGCCTTTTAGATGGCCAGATATTCACAAGTGATAAACATTTTGGCATTGCTTGTGGTTATCAGGCTGTCTACCTCACTGGATGTCAGATTTTGGTTTTCGCAGAAGATTTTTCCCTGTTGGAAAATCTGCAAACAAGTAGGGACCTATGAATTCTGTGCAAAAAACATATTGTCCTGTCACCGTTGCTCCAGATTTGCAGAGGGTCCTGGCACTGGAACTGATTTGAGGATGTCACCCAGGCCTTCATTCTCCAGGAGATATTTGAGCAGGCTTCAAATGACGATAGATGATTAGATATCTCTAAGAATCTCATCCTTAATGGAGTTAAAGTCCCATATTTTTTATCAGGTGATAGTCTAATTTGCACAGTACTTCTGGTCCTCAGAATAAATGATCGGACCTCCTGACAGGAATTTCCCCTGGACTGTAACATTTTCTTATGTGATTTATGCCTCCGACTGCTAAAAGTGCTCTTGCCCCCTAAGGCATATGACACACTAGGATTCAAATAGCTGGCAGCAACTCCCTAGTGACGGGTTCACTAGACCGGATGAAGAAACCACCCATTATCTGTTTGTACGACGTCACTGATTGGACAACTGAGGTGTCACTCCCTCGTTGATATGAGAGATTGTGCAGAATTTCAGCTAGTGAACAAAACCTTTAGAGATCCTTTTTATTGATTGTGACGCTGAAGAGTTGCCACCAACGACAAAATCACCAGGGTGCCATTGGCTGAAGAGCTCAGAAACTTGAGCATTGCTCATCATGAGAAGCAGTTCCTTGGCTAATCGGATTCCTGTATTTTCTCCAGCCACAGAATCCATGTCGGTGATCTGACAACCAGGTACTGGACTTCTTAAAATGGAACTCCTGCAAAACCATAACAAAAATTAAATTGCCAAGCATTTTAAGTAAAAGCGACTCACTGAGCTGCCCTCTACGGCTCTGTCCCCCACAGATTTAATACAGTAGATGCCCAGTGCCAGTTCTGTTTCTGGTTGAATGATGGCTATCATCATCCAACTCATTTCCTGTGAGCCCAGGCTGTCAAGGACACACCTTATGTGGGGTGCGGCATCACACTGGCCTGGTACCACAGTATTCCTAAACTGAGCACCAATCGGTCCAAGGGGAAGCGCTAAAACCGGCTAGGAAGAAGTGAAAGGACCTTTGACATCACTGGACTGGCCTTAAGACTGCAGGAAGAATGTATTTATAGGGTTTTTTGTTTTTAATCTCAGGTTGGGGGTTGCAGGGAGCTTCAGGAAATGGTGGAGGGGATTGGTTGGAACGCTATCCCTTAGCTTTAATTACTCAGTTCTATGAAACAGTTTGACGTATAGACCATAAGATGTTGGATAACCTGTAATGGAAGTAGAAGAGGCATGCAAAGCTCTTTAACAGCTTACATCACCTACAATAATCTACTGTATTACATATATAATGTGCTAATGCACTGTTCAAGAGACCTAACCTAGTTTTTCGCTCATAATAGCCTTCTTTTCTGTACTAATGGCGGAACATCAAATTATGTATAGTGAAGAGCGCAAACTGTAAGGATACCGCTGTACAAAAACGATGGTAATAATAATCAATGCTTTTATCATAATAACAGATTTTCCTCCTTCTCTGTGGTATAAATTGAATTTAAATGTAACTTTTTGGCACCCAGAGAGCTGGAACAAAGCCATCCTATGCTTCTGAAACACCGTTCTCTGCGAGTGAAGTGTTCCTTCAGATTTTTAATGGAGAATTAGTGTTGCTATATTGCATTTTTTAATGCGCTTTTGTTGCCAACTGTGACAACCAGTTTTTATAACTGAACTAGTGTTTTAGACTGAACGGTTTATTAATGAAGAATAATTTTGCTGGGATTGCTGATATAAAATTGGCCACCTCCAATAAGAGCTAAAGCCCAAATAAATTCTACACTTTAAATGACATTGGAACAGCTAAATATGCTGCTTTTAATCCACACCACACCTGTCTGTATTTCTACCTGCATAATGATTTGTGATTCTGTGTAGCCTGTGTTGTGATTCTCATACCTCTGATGCCGGGCAAAGGCAGGTGGCACCACTGTTTGCCGGTTAAGCCGATGTTGTCTCCAGTCTGCATATTTAATATGGTGTAAAGCTGGCCATACACCTATAGATCATCTGCACATTTTCTATGGTCAGATGGAAAAAGTGCAACAGATTCCTCCATCTACGCTAAACTGTGTGGATGGAGGAATATCCCACTGGGCCAAGCTTCAGTATCTTGCTAGTCGTCCCCGCTGGCTCTCAAAATACCTCAACAATGCCGGCATCTAATCAGATTGTTAATAAAAAAGAAAAATGTGCAGGAGTAACTGCACGTTCATGTATATTTCCAAGGCTGTGTTTTTGTCTTCTCTTCTGTTTCCAATTGATTGGATTTCTGGGGGGTGATATAAAAAAATTCAGCATAAGTATATTTTGTTGGTTTTCTTTCACATGTAATATTTAATGGCATTTGCAAACTTGTTAATATGTTTTTGTTTTTTTTTACCTATAGGTTCTAGAGACCTTTGCAGGTCGACTGATTCAGAACAATGTGTTGTCACGGAGAGATATCCCCAACCTAACAAAATACCAGATCATCCTGTTTCGAGATCAGTTCCGGAAGAACCCACCTTCTAATATTGTGGCAAGTGTTCTTCATGCATCATGTACAGACAGACCGACCACAAACTTTATGTACAGAAGGGCTCCGCTGGGCTGTCAGTTGCAGTACATCTCAGCGCTGGTATCCCTTAGCTCTGTTCATAGGAAACCGAATGGAGGTGACGGGCCCTAAGTACATTACAACTCTGTAGGCCCATTCACATCATATGCGCTGGGCTGCAGTGGGCAGCCTTGTGCCAGTGCAGGGGTTTGGGATGCAGTATACTGCTTTGCATAAAGATGAATGCCATGTCATTTTGGGCCATTCAATTAAGTTGGAAATAAAAAAAGCAACTTCTTTACTATGCATTAGCATTCATAGTGCACATCAGCGGCCAATGCAGCCCTCAGGGTTATGGTTGATAGATCCTGCCATAAAGATATACCATTGGCTCCTGTTTCATGTCTTCCGAAAATGCTAGTTACCTGGTTATCATGCTTAATCTCTGGTCTCAGTGCTTTCTGCATTACTGACCTGGAGCAAGTATGCAGATCAGCAGTTTTTGCCTCCACTGTTGCCTGCTTGTTCTGGGGCAAAGTATTGCAACCAGAGGAGTAGCATGATGGCAAAGCACTCAGCATTTTCAACCAGAAGTTACATATTTCTTTAATATCTGGTGTCACTTAAAGCAGCTGTTGCTGGTATAGAAACTTGAACAAAAGCCCGAACTGTAAAGTAATGAATGAATTACTTTACATCGGGGTGCAGAGCTTCGATTTTTTTTTTTTTATATAGAGCATAGGGAGTCACCAAGTGTTGGAAGCTGGAAGTGTTGAATACTGAAGGTTCCTTAGCCAGATTTAGCTCTTCAAGAAATGTACCGTATATACTCGAGTATAAGCCGTCCCGAATATAAGCCGAGGTACCTAATTTGACCAAAAAAACCTGGGAAAAAGTATTGACCCGAATATAAGCCGAGGGTGGGAAATGAGGCAGCTACTGGTAGATAGATACCAATAAAATTACATTAATATTTATTTAAAAGGAAAAATAACCTAGCTCTGTAAGTGGAAAAGGGGGTACAGGGCTACATATCATGTACTACAGATCATTTAACCCATTCATATTAGCAGAGGATAATTGTAAATCTATTGTTCAGTGCACTCTATATGTAGTATATAGTACATGTACATATAGAGTGCCTGCAACAATACATTTACAATGATCCTCTGCTAACATGAATGGGTTAAATGATCCATAGTACAGGGCTACATACAGATCATTTAATACATTCATGTTAGTATAATTGTAAATGTATTGTCTGCACTGTATTAGCAGTATATACTCTATATAGAGTATATACTGCTAATACAGTGCAGACAATACATATATAATTGCTTAATTAATCTCTCTCTCTACCCCCCCCCCCCCCCTCCCCTCACTCACTGTGTGCCGGTGATCGGATCATCACATCACGGAGAGAGCAGGGACGAGTCAGCGGCGCGCTGATCAGACGAGAGGAGCTCCAGGTGGGGTCCTAATTTAGCTGGCTCAGAGGTGCCTGCCCGCTAAATTACAACCCCACCTGGAGCTCCTCTCGCCTGATCAGCGCGCCGCTGACTCATCCCTGCTCCCCTGCCTGACTGGCCGCTGCGGGGGGTTTTTTCTTCTTCTTACTTACCTCGCCGAGCGTCGCTGCTGCTGCGGTGTGCGGCGCTCCGAGCGGGGTCATCTGGCAGTCTCCGGCCACCTAAATTAGGACCCGGAGACTGCCAGATGACCCCGCTCGGAGCGCCGCCCACCGGAGCAGCAGTGACGCGACGCTCGGCGAGGTAAGTAAGAAGACGCGCTGGCGCTGACTCGAGTATAAGCCGAGGGGGGCACTTTTCACCCAAAAAAATGGGCTGAAAATCTCGGCTTATACTCGAGTATCTACGGTAAGTCAATAAAGCGGGAATTGAGACCAGCAAGTATTGCAGGGCTTTTTCATGTTTTTATTCTATTGGTCACTTTTAGTACAGTATAGAACTATTGTATAGGAATGTATGTTTGTAGGGATCTAGAAGGAAATGTGATACATCCTGGTTTTAATATTCTTTGTAATTTACATAGCAAGAGTATTCTTGTAACAATGATGTCTGTAGCCTCCATCTTATAAGAAGAATGGTGCTGTATCCAGGAGAGGATTGAGAATATTTGGCCTGGTGGGCAAATACAACCAAGTGGCCTTTCATGGTAGAGACCAGTTTGTGTCCACTGGGATTTGTGCCATGATGTTTCTGTGATGGTAAAATGTGGGAATTCCTGTGACATCTTTTCACATCTTCCAGCATTAATCTTCTTTGTGGCTCTTGGGGTTAAGTTATAGCTTAGACCCACAATGGAAATCGGTGCAGAAAGAATTTCCTCTACCAAGTGCTTTGATTGCAGGTCTAAACAGGGAGCAGTGATAGGTCTCACAATGTGTCATTGACTTTAATCCTACTCTGATGACTGGTGAAGTATCTCTATACAAGTCCACCAGCTTAACATATCTTATTACTAGCCTTGAATATTTTGCAAGTAGTCAGTTTCTCTGTAATGCTGATTATGAAGATAATTCTATTCATTCAGGTTGTGTATAGGCAGTAATAAGTTTATATCTTTGTCTCATGCAGGGGGCACAGATGGGAGTGGTGGAAGGAGATTTTGCTCTCTGTATAAGCTTATATCATGGCTATGAGCTTTTATTGCAGATGGGAACACGTTCTCTATGCTACTATCTGCGATCAATAATGGATGGGTCCAAAGGTAAGATCATTGTAGTGCTATCATGTGTAGTTCATACAAAAAACATGCTTGGCTTTGGAGTGGTGGTGTTTTAAAGATGCCCTGGCACATTCTCAGAGACTGGCAAGTATTTTTCATCTCAGCTGACAGTCACTGTGTTTAAGATTGGCCCCAATGGTCCCACTTCTTTCTTTTTTTTTTTTTAAATCTACTCAGTATTGTTTTATCCATTTGTACAGTTGCTCCTTTGGAACATGTATTTTTCTACCACCAGACTTTGTAAAGAATGAGCACAAACGGTCAGGTTTTTATTGCTGTCTATAATATTTGGGATGGAGAAATTAATATGGAATTCAGGAGCCAGTCTGTCCAGTACAGGAGCCAGCTCCATTGACAACTAGCGAAAACCTCAGACGTTGCACCAGTTGTAATTTTTGCCAGCATTAGTTGCCTGGCTCTAAGATCTGCCTATATTTGGTCACTGTTTTTTATTGGGTTTGCAACAACATCAGCTTGCCCCCAATCCTCCCCCTCCTTTTTATACTAGTCTTGGACATGACCATTCATCAATATAAATATTGTTAATCTTTCTTAGGTATGACTCGAGCACGGAATGATCTTGGTCGAAATACTGACTTCATGAATCTTTACCAGCAACTGGAATCCTTGTTTTCTGCTCCCAGCGGTGAGTCACAAATTGGCTGCTGAAGACACACAACCCCTGAAATATACAGGCATCTGTTTGGGTTGAAGTGCAGCAAGGTTTGACCCACTTATAGGTTTTGAATGTAGTCTGGCATTCCAACAATTATCTCAGTCCACCACTGGCACAGCATTGGCAACCGGAAAACTTTCCAGCTGAGCTACTTGTGTCACTTTGACCCAATGCATACAGCCCCATCTAACCTCCTATACCCCTACATAAATTGGATGAGTTCATCTTGATCATCTGTGGAGGTGGGATCAGAACAAGTCTTCTCGGATGGATCCTGAGGAATCGCTACAATCCAGTTTTGGATGCAAGGTCCCACAAGCGGCCGAGCAGATTTAGTCGTGCCATAATTTTGGGGGGATGCCTTGCTAATTATTTTTTACCCAGCCCTCACTCATCAATAGGAAGACTGCTGGGAATGTTTTTTGTTTTTTTACTCAATGTAAAATCCTTTTCTTCAGTAGTTCATTGGGGTACACAGCTCCCTCCCAACCTGTCGGTTGAGTTCTCTTGGTTTTGTTGGCCCCTTGCCCACAGTATGATGCTCAGTTTGCAAGTTACCATTCCCCCAATACCAATTTAGTAGTTGCTGTTCCTGAGCTCATTCAGTACATGCAGGGCTATAGCCACTAGACTGGTCTGTGCTTTTTGCTTTGCCTATTGTCCAGTTCCCTGGAGGTGGCAGCTATACCCATCAGTAGAAGACTACTGACTGTATACCACAATTAACCATTGGGGAGAAGGATTTTACTGTGATTGTTTTGGGGTTTTTTTCCATCCGTGAGATGAGACCAGTTTTGCTTTTCTCTGGCTCTTCTCCAGTACATTAACATGCACACTCAAACAATATAAACATTAATATTCATAAAAACAGTATTCTTCTTGCATGTCTGTTGTCTGACAAGCTCAACCGTTTTTTTGTTTCACATAACCGTGTTTCCCGGCCTTGTAATCTGCATATAATTTCTGTCCAATATCCCCCTCCATTTAATTTAGTTTACAACATGCAATCGAAAGGAATTTGTGCCCGTGTTTCATCTGACTGTGAGTTCAGCAAATAGAATAACGATGTCTGTCTATGCATGTCACAACAGAAGCTTTAATATGCGATTTGGCTGCTAATGCCTGCCATATAATCAGTGGTATTGGGGAGCTAAGCTCTGGCTTTCCTTATGTATATTTTATGGAGGCTTTTCTATTTCATTAACGAGGCTTATAGAAAGTGTCTGGTTCAGAGCAGTATTCTAATTATCCAAAAACACCTGGAATATTTTGCATCAGAGACAAGTTTTTCATTTAGTCCTTGTATATGTATGGAATCTCAGATCTTTATGCAAGGTTGCTGTGTGTAGAATAAACCACCTCGGACCACTAAGCTTAAGGCATTTTCACCCTTGTTGCAGCACCCTGGTGTTTAGTGAAGGCTTAGGACAGATTTGGGCAATCAATTAAAATTCTTTAGGCAGGCTTAAGGTGTAGAAGGAAGTGGTGCATAGAAGTCAAAATGGTATAGTTGTCTCTTTTTAGTTGCTGCACAATGTGTTTCCTGGACCCACGTGTATTTCAATTTAAGCAGCCTGGAAAAAGGTCCATTATGTCTCCAGTCAGATTGTAAGAGACGTTAAGAACCAACTATGTAGAGATTAACCATTAAACTACATTTGTTTTTCCGAGAGAAATACCTTTCTGCTGCTGTACTTATAATGGTTTGTCTACATTTTAGGCTTATGTAGCATTTAAGATTCTCCAGTGGCTTAGGATTATCACTGCAGCTAAAAAAAACTTTTGATTGACACTGATTAGTTTGGTTTTTGTGCAGTTGATGTAGTACACATTATAGTAAGCAAGCAGGAGAGAAGTTACATTACCTAAACTGGGTACACATGGAGCACATTCCTGCTGAATTGGCTGAAATTTGCTCCATTGGTAACCTTACTCACTTGACAGAAGTTGATCATTAGATCAACTTTTACCGATGGAACATGTTTGGGGTTACTTATCATAATAATGGACCAGTCGGAATGTCTGAGGGTGGTGAGCCTTAGCGACAAGGCCCCACATTACTCCGAAGTGTCTGAACTTCATACCCACCTTCCCCACCTTGACTCTTTGAAGTAGAACCCTGAACAAACATTGCTGTCTCTGTCCTTTGGAAAAGGGAGAGGAAATATTTCAAAATGGAAGCAAAGTAAAGGAATATATATAGATATCTTTATAGATATCTATATATCTATATACATATTTTATTACAATGGGAAAATACCTTCTTTAGGCAACAATTGTCAAAGGTGGTCCGATACCGATGCTTGTATCGGTATCGGTGCATCCCTAGTGGTATGTCCCATCATTATGAAGAGATCTCTTCTTGCTTTCCCATGTCATAAGTGAGGGGAAATCTCTATAATGGGGGTATCTTGAGACCAGGTGGGTTGTCTTGGAGGTTGGTTATGTTGCCACAAAGCGCACAGCCCCAGTCAGCTGCAAGCACCGTCCGGGTATTCTGACACTGGCCAGCACCTCTGTCAGAATACAAAGCTCATAGCAGGAGATTCGTCCATTCACGCTGTTCATCTATTTTTTCATTCAGTCCGCAGGTTGAACAAAAAAAAATCGGTGTATAATCTACTTTAGACTCTCAATGGTCATCAAGAAATAACTTGTACCAGTTGCAGCTGACAGCTCAGCCAGCATCTGATGGTGAAATCCTTTTTCTTTCAGTGAATTTATCTTTATGATGGTTCTATGTTCAGACTGATTCCTATGTGCTACTTAAGCGTGTTGTACATATGTTTGGTCACGTCTGATGTGTGTGTGCGGTTTTCTTTTCTTTAGGCTCTGATGTGGGAAAGCCATATATCTATAGCCATCCTAAGCTGAAGAAACTGGAGGAAGTTGTCATACAGCATTTTAATTCCTGGAATAAGAAGGGTAGGTTTCTAATGCCCCACTGATTTTCTTTGGATCTATCATCTTCATTGACATGTTTATGCAGTTCTCAAGTTTATAATCTTCACTGTGACTTGCAGATAAACTTCAGACAGGTATTTTAAAGAAAACAAAAAAAATGCCATGTGGATATCTTAAAATGTATTTTTAAAAGCCGCTAGTATACTGCAAGTACCTAAAATGTGTCTTTTATATTGCCAATACCCATGCATATCTGGACTGGAACTGAAGAGTGAACCAGTCAGACCTGACTGCCTTGCACGGTGCTGTGATCCAAACCCTAAAAGGTTGCTGACAGGATGAATGTAAATTGGGAGAACTACATGACTTCATCAGTATGGCGATTCTCCATCATCCAGTCAGCTTACTGGAGTCAGGTTGTTGACCAAGGTGTTTTGCTTTAATTGTGATGTTGGAAAGTGAGGTCACAGACCTGGCAGGGTTGCTTGTATTATAATACTGATGGGACATAATTGCATACTTTTATCTTATATCAGCTAAAACCATTCAAATGTTTGTATTTCAATTGTACATTAAAACGCTTGCCTAAAGTTCATCTTTCTTTTACCAAAATATTTGCAATTCTGATCGCCATTTTTATAAATTCCCCTACCCCTACCACACTCCATAACCAGAAAAGTAACACAATTATTCACCATTGCACCTTCCTGTATTACCTGCCCAGGCATTGGTCCATTTATTGACATGATTACATCGCTGAAGTCTTCCCTATGCTTCTGCTTTTTTTTTTTCTTCCCTGAAATTCAGCATTAAGTGTAACAGAATTAGTGGTATTTATTTTATAGAGTAGGCCATGTTTGAACATACCCTTCATCCTTGTTTAGACAGACAGCAGGCTCCACCACCCTGTAACTAGGGATTTTGCAGTGGGCGGTAGAGCAGCAGTACCATTTCACTAATATGGTTGTGTTTTGGCATGTGACATGCTGTATCATTTATACTGCACTGTCCCTGATGACTGGTGGGGTAATGATCAGGAGAGGAGGAGGAAGCACAGCTCCACAGAATTGATGAATCGGAAGCAGGGAGATCCTGGCACAGCAGGTACAGCTTACTTTCCAGCAAGAAAAATGATCAGCACAGTAGTACTGTTACCAAATCTCACTACTAATCTGGTGAGATTGGTAGTCAGGGGAGGCAGAGCGCCTTAGATGATCTCACCCTGCAGATATACAGCTATTATGCCAAAGGTGCAGGAAGTGCCCTGCTACTTTGAGGAAGAAATCCAGGCAAAATGTTTATTTTTCAGGGTAGTGCTCTGTATAGCAGCCTTTTCCAACCAGGGTGCTCCTAGGGTGCCTTCAAATTTTCGGACAGCATCATGCATTCCCATGGTGATGGAAATGCAGGACACTAATTCAGGGTGGGTTGCCTCCAGGACCTTCCCCTGGCATTCCGAAGATGAAAATTTCAAAACCTAAATAAAGGAAATCGGACCGAAAGGTTTTTTAACTTTTTTTCAAATTTTTTAAAAAAACTTTTTTTTATAAACTTTTTTTTTCAATTTTTTAAATATTTTATTCATTTTTTATTTTACTTTTAGGGGCTTCGGGGAAATATTAGGGGTCTAAACAGACTCCTGATATTTGCCTTTTTAAAATAGAAAAAGAGATTGCGGACACATCTCTTTTTCTGCAGCCCCTGTTATCAATGGACAGGAATCCTCTATGAATGTTCCTGTTCATTGATAACATGAGGACAGAGTATGTTTACTATAACCACAATCATGAATGAAAAGGAGGTGATGTAGATCACTTCCCATTCATTCATAACTGAGGATATAGTAACCATACTATGTCCTCAATTATCTACAAACACTCAGTGATCACTGACTGCTTATACACGCTCTCCATCCTGACACGCTGTCACAGGAGGCTGAGCGAGTGGTGCGGAAGGAGAAATGCCGGCCGCTCACAGCGCTCTCCTCCCGCAGCATTTGGCCACTTGTGACAGTTTCTCTCCTCCCCGCTGGGACATTTTCAGCCAATATGTTTCTGCGGCCCATGTTTCCATGCATCCCTACTTTTTAAAGGGTGCCGAGACAACAGCCAACAGGTTGCTCTATAGGATAGCAGATGTTCACTTTTTGAGTTAATGTCTACTTTAAAAAGTAAAAAAAAGAAGTCTATAATGTTCCCGTCAATTTTTTTGGTGGGGAGGAGATCACATGTAACACTATATACTTTTGTCACCATGTTGGTCTTGTCGTCCTAATTTTATGTAAAACTATACGTTTTGAGATGGTGGCGGTTTTCTGGAATCATCCGTACTGCGTAAATGGCTTTTGTGGTGTACCGACAAAGCCATTATTCAGTGATCAAATACTCCGTGTGCCGCCGACACAGACGCGACCTGCGTGTTTTCTAATCCATTTAGACGAGAGGTTGAAATACACGGTGGGTGGGGAGGGACAAAGGATAATTGAAAGTGCAAATAACACACACGAGGCACAATATATTTCTTGCCTTCGGCTTTGTATTCATTTTTTTTCACAATGTACATCAGAAAGCTGCGAGTTGCTATTCGACTTTATATAAACAGAATTTTTTTTTCAGATTTAGCCTCTGGCCCGTCTGATTACATGGATGTGTTTTTTTTGTTTTGTTTTTTTTTTGTTTTTTTTTTCCTCAAGGGCCTTGATCAGAATGTGTCAGAGAAAGCTTTGTGGTTGAAAATGTATTTTCATTTCATTTTAGTTTAGAGGTAATTAAAAGACAATATCAAACATCAGTGTTTTCCTTGTTTTGTTATTTGGTTCAATTGGAAAACCATGATGTCTGTTTTGTAAATTGTAGCGCCTACAAAAGGTGCATTCATCATTTATTAAAAGATAAAATGTCATACTTAGCAAAGTGAATGGTTAAAGCACAACTCTGGGCAAAGCAAACTTTAGCCCCGGCAGTGGAGCTTTTCCCGCACTGCAAGGGTTACGTCCTCGTTTTATCTAGGGAGGTAAAAAAAAACAAGTTATACTCGTCAGAAAAGCGATCCCAGGCTATCTCTTAAGCTGGCCACACACCTATAGGTTATCTGCAGATTTTCTATGGTCAGATGGAAAAAGTGCAACAGATTCCTTCATCTACGCTAACCTGTGTGGGTGGAGGAATCTCCCTTTGGGCCAAGCTTCAGTATCTTGCTATTCGGCCCCGCTGGCTTTCAAAATACCTGAACAATGCCTGCATCCAATCAGATTGTTCAGGTGTTTTGACAGCCAGCGGGGCCACCAGCAAGATACTGAAGCCTGGCCCAGTGGGAGATTCCTTCATCCACACAGTTTAGCTTGGATGGAGGAATAAGATATATATTCTATGGTCAGATGGAAAAAGTGCAAGTGTATGGCCAGCTTTAAGGTGCCCATACACCTTGCGATTTACGGTTCAGAAAAAGAACACGATCGGGTTTTCGTACGATAATCGGCCAGTTGATGGGAAGTGAACAATCACAATTACTGTACAGCTGGCCGAATTTCGTCGGTCAGGTAGGAAAACTTTTTTTTTTTTTAATCGTACGAAAATCGATGGATTAGTGGTGTTTTCGTACGGAAAAAATCGCAACGTTAACACTGCACATGCACAAAAGAAATTCCGTTCTGTCGAATGACTAATTTCGGCCAATTATTATTGCTAACGAACGATAATCGAAATCTACATTGGTCTGTGCATGATGGGGTATTCAAGCGGAAATCGAACACGGGTTCCATGACGGGACGACAGAAATAGAGCGATAATTGTAAGGTGTATGGCCAGCTTTAGACTGGCTCCTTCAGCCTCTCTCCCCCACCGCTCCAGCAGTCTAGGGTCCAGTGAGTCGTCGTGTCCTATACAGTGTAAAGAATGTTATGATGCCAAAAAAAGTCCTAGTTTGCTCCCTTTTGTTCTGTTCTATCTCTCATTTAAACCATTTTCTTATATCTGTGCATTGATAAAACCTGTTGATCATCAGATATTCAGAGCTGGCTTGTGTTTTGTGCACACTTCCTTTTGTTATCTCAAGAAGCCAATAAGCCCTTCTAGTTGTCACCTTGGGACTATAGAATGATTAGTCTGTGTGTTGTGGAGAATGGGATAGGGGGTGGGTTTGAGTAGGTAAGCAAAAGGCAACTGGACAGGGTTTGACACCAGTTTGTCTACAAAAATGCTTTGTGTTGTCATCCCACAACAGGACTTGGGAGCCAAGTGTATTTTTTGCACATCAACAGGTGCCGGCGGTCAGAATACAAAATCAGGGAAGATGCCTGCATCTACGGCTGTTTAGTTGATGATGGGGCAATGGAGAATTATTTACTTGAACAAAATAAAACTACCAGTGTATGACCAGCTTAATAATAATTAATTTTTTTTTGTTTGTTTTTTTTATAACTGTGGGTGGCCACATCGGGGAGCTTTTGATATTCTGTACCTGCTCCACTAAAATAAATGATCAAAGCTGCAGTCACTGGAACAGGAAGCCGTAGACTGTAATACCAAGTGGACAGAGATTCTAACCGTTCATTTCCCGCTGTGTCCTTTTTGTATTATGACAGTGGTGGGGGTGTCACTGTCGGCATACCGGAACAGTGACCTATTTGCCCAAAGATTTTCCTCTGGATGATCATCTGGATGCAGGACAGAAGGGTGGCAACAGGGCCACCACTGTGCAAATTTCGGTCGGTTCATAAAGAACAATGTATATCCAACTTTACTCTCCTATATTCTCACACTAGATGCGAATGGCCACCATATATTGTTCCTCTGCTTCATAATCCCGTTTTTGCACCCTGTTATGCATTGTGACCATTCTGGGAACTTTTTTATTTTACTTTTTGTACTTTTTCCTGTTTGGTACTTTGTCAATTTTAATACATAATTTTGAATATAAAACATATTGCTCGATTGGTGAAAAATCTCATGATGATCGTCATCATGTATGTTCTATGGCAATCCTCTTTAGTGGTAGTATCGTGTGTTTTGCAGCCTAGATTCCCTAAAGGTTAATCAATTACTTGTTGCAGTCTCCAGTTTCTATATTTACTATTTGTTTGACGTGTTGAGTGTTGTCTATTTTTTTTTTTTTTACTCCTAATTTGCAGCGGTCGATAAGGAGTAAAAAGTAATATTAACACGTTTGATCTACCTCTCCACCCCTCCCAATAAACTCTAAGTGCCTGTTTCTGAATGAGACTTGCTTGGTACATTAATTGTGAGGCATTGTCAGCACTTGAACGCCATCAGTCCTTTGTCCGCGCAGCGCTTTCAAAGCTTGACTGTTTGTGACCAATATCGAACTATAGGTTTTTATCTAGGCCAGCTCACAGCGGCTAATTTCAGGGAATCAATTTGTATTATCTGTTCATTGTGGCATGTGAGACTGTTAATTGTACAGAAAGTGCGCTCTCCTGGCTCCTATTGATCGTTCATGGAGGGGACTGAGGGCAGAGTAATTAGAATGTTGTTAATTGGCAGGCTCTTCCTCCTAGATTTTCTAAACAAAGGGTCAGCAATCTTAATGGGTGGGCATGCCAAGCCATTTTTTTGGTGGCACAAGGAAAGTTTACTGTGCCGCTATGGTGTGCTATTATTCACTGGCACGCTGGTTGTCTAATACTTGTAAATTGATAATGTGAAAAAGGTTGCTGTATGCGTTCAGAAGGATGTCTAATTAATATACGTTTGGCTTATTCCTCATTAGATATTTATGATTAAAATCTGTCATTGATGCTGACCGTACATAGACTGGGTGGTAGGCATTCTGTGACCTGAAATAGTTTTATTTTCTTTCATATATATTTTATTTTATAGTGTCAGTACATTCCTCTAGAACAGCATTTCTCAGCTTATTTTCAGTCACGACATCCTTTAAAAGTAGGCAAAACCTCAAAACACTACTATTTTAAAATGTAGGGCATTTTAAAGAAGAACCCCATGCAGAAGCACACAAAAAGCAGGGTTCTTTCCTTC